AACTTGGTGGTCAAGTTTCGCCCGCCAATGTCTCCGTCATGTACGCTTCTACTCTCGCCGCCAACCTTGTCAACCTTAAGAACTTTGACGTTCCTGAGTGGGATACCCTCGCTTCCTACCTCGCCTTTGCTACCGCCACTCCCGATGCCGTCTCCGTTGCTCGTGAGTGGGTTGTCCGCTCTGCTACAGAGGACACTGGTGAGGAAGAAGTTCTGGAGGACGAGGAGGAAGGCGAGGACCTCTGTAACTGCCAGTTCTCTTTGGCTTACGGTGCCAAGATCCTGCTTAACACCGCTACTCTCCGTCTCAAGCGTGGCCACCGCTACGGTCTCTGCGGTAAGAACGGTACCGGAAAGTCAACTTTGATGCGTGCTATCACCAACGGGTTCGTTTTATAAATAATCCGCAGACTTGCTTGTTCTAATTTTTTCGTTGATAGACAAGTCGAAGGTTTCCCATCTCCTGATGAAGTCAGGACCTTCTACGTTGAGCACGACATTGATGGCAGCGAAGAAGATACCAGTGTTCTCTCGTTCATTCTCACCGACAAGCGTATTCAAGGTTCTGAGGCTGAAGTCATCGAAACGCTTGCATCTGTTGGTTTCACCGACGAGCGTCAGAAGCAGGCTATTGGATCCCTCTCTGGTGGTTGGAAGATGAAGCTTGCCCTTGCTCGGGCTATGCTTTTCAAGGCTGACATCCTCTTGCTTGATGAGCCTACTAACCATCTTGATGTCGTCAACGTCGCTTGGTTGGAGAACTACCTGACCAACCTCAAGACCTGTACCTCCAGTATGTCGTTTTCACTCTCTTGTTATTGTTTTTTTCTAACATTTGCATAGTCATTGTCTCCCACGACTCTGGCTTCTTGAACAACACCATCACTGACGTCCTTCACTTGAACCGCTTCAAGCTCAGGAGATACCGTGGTAATCTCGAGAAGTTCGTCCAGGCTGTTCCTGAGGCCAAGTCCTACTACACTCTCGAGGCTGCTGAGGACTACAAGTTCAAGCTCCCTGACCCTCCTCTCCTTGAGGGTGTCAAGACCAAGGAAAAGAGTTTGTTGAAGATGTAAGTTTTTCTTTTTCTCGCCCCGAGCTGGCTTTTTCTTACATCTCTTCAGGCGTAAGGTCGGCTTCCAATACCCCACGCAACCTGTCCAACAGCTCTACGACATTACGCTCCAAGTCTCACTCTCCTCTCGTGTTGCCGTCCTCGGTCCTAACGGTTCCGGAAAGTCGACCCTCGTCAAGCTGCTCATCGGTGACATGGAGGCCAACAAGGGTGGTGAGATCTGGAAGCACCCCAACTTGGTCATTGGTTACGTCGCGCAACACGCTTTCCACCATATCGATCACCATCTTGACAAGACCCCGCTCGAGTACATGCTCTGGCGTTACCAGACTGGTGAAGATTTGGAGGAAATGACCAAGGCCAACCGTCAGATTTCTGAGGAGGAGGAGAAGAAGATGAAGGAGGGAAGCACTGTTGTTGTTGAGGGTGTGAAGAGGTTGATTGATGAGATTGTTGCAAGGAAGAAGTTGAAGCAGTCGTATGAGTATGAGGTTTCGTTCAAGAACCTCTCGTCGTCCGAGAACATCTGGTTACCTCGTGATGAGCTCGTCAAGCGTGGTTTCGAGAAGGTACGTTTTGCTATCATCCTTTCTAATGTTTGCAGCCATTGACGTATTTTATAGAAAGTCATTGAGGTTGACACCCGTGAAGCCCAGCGTCTTGGTCTCCTCCGTCCTCTCGTTCGTCGTGAGATTGAGAAGCACTTTGCTGACTTTGGTCTCGAGCCTGAGTTCGTCTCGCACAACACCATGAGGGGTCTGTCCGGTGGTCAAAAGGTCAAGATCGTTCTCGGTGCTGCAACTTGGCGTCGTCCCCATGTTATGTGCTTGGATGAGCCTACTAGTGCGTTCTTTCACTTGAATAACTTTTTCAATGTCTAATATTCTCTTCGCAGACTACCTTGACCGAGAGTCGCTCGCTGCTCTTATTGAGGCTCTCAAGGTATTCGAGGGAGGTGTCCTTGTCATCACCCACAACCGAGACTTTTCCGAATCCCTGTGCAAGGAAGTCTGGGCTATGCGTGACGGTCGTCTCGAGGCGTCTGGCCACAATTGGGTCGAGGGTCAAGGTTCCGGTCCTCGTATCGACAAGAAGGATGGCGAGGATGATGACCAGTACGACGCTATGGGTAACAAGGTTGATTCGACGAAGACAAAGAAAATCACCTCAGCAGAAGCACGGAAACTCAAGAAGGAGCGTATGGCACGGAAGAAGAGAGGTGAAGAGATCACCGATGATGAGCTTTGATTTGCTTCGAACATTTTGCGAATACAAAGCTTCTTTCTTTCTCTCTCTCTTCATTCCTCACTTGTTGTTTCATAACTCTCCGACTTGTGCATATACGATTTCTTAATTATTCGACTACGTGTATGTTGTGCTATTTCCTCTGTTGTGACGATTATCATTTACGGCTCGAATTGTTTCCGTTGTTTACTACTCATTATGGCTCTCATAATCTATATCTACTTCCTGAATACTGCGAGAACACTGAGTAAACGAAAAGCTGAAGGCTGAAGATTGAGGTTATTGGCTTCCTTGTTCGATTCATGATAACTATACATGATTGCCGTGTAGTGTAATCTAAAATACAACCATCATAATAACCATAGAGTAACGACTCGGATGTATCACTTTTCCTTGCTCAACGCTTTGAGATTTTCTCCGTCTGCCAAGTGCACTGGTGTAGGGTCGTCTTTTGGAGGTTCACCCATAATTTGACGAAGTCCTGCCGTATTGAGGAGTTTGGCGTATTTCGGTTGCACAAACATGGCTCTATGGTAATGTCAAGATAAAATTAATGAGTGGAATAGAAGAAAGCTCACTTTGCTTCGACGAGCAACGTTCCTTTCATATCTTCCAACCTCGCTACAACGTATGCTCTCCGGCCCTTGACTTCGCCCATCTTTGTCTTGACGACAACAAACTGGTCAGCTTTGGTAGGTGCACGATAACTGAGGTTGAGCGTTGCCGTCACTCCCACTCGTTCTGGGAGATTGTTAATAGCCTATCAGAACGGCCGTAAGTAACGCGGGCTGAACAAAGAATCTAGATGCACTCTTACCGTACGTGCCATTGATTCATCCAGGATAGTGGCTAGCATTCCGCCATGGACAATTCCGTCATGGCCACAGAGGCCTCTACCGAGATGTACGAAAACATAACTTTCCGATTCATCTCGGCGGACCCAAACGACTGGGGTACAGTTAACTTTCCTGGACCACGGAGTGCGCCAGCAGAGAGATTGTTTACGCGGCGCTCTCAGGGAAGTGCTGGTAAGGACGAGCCTCATACCATTCGTTTGCATCAGAGGCAGCGCGCAGGGATTCTAGTAGAGGTAAAGAGAGTAGCTGTTTTTCAATAGCAGCTGTGTATTCTAGCGATTCTGGTGAGTGAGGATCAGCGGGAGGACCTGGGGCAGGAGCAGGGTATAAAAAAGCAAGCGGAGAAGCTGGGTATATTGACCCTACTGCGTAAGCTGTTAAACTGACAAAAGCAGTCAAGGTTATTGATAAAAATCCTAGGCGACGAGGAGGTGGGGAAGATTTTCTCCCCGGCTCTTCGGAGAAAGAGGAATAGCTGCGTTTAGTAGACAATAAGAGTGATCTAGAGTAGACTCGACGAGAAAGAAGTGTTCTAATAGGAACCGACATTGAAGAAGAAAGCACGTCCGGACTCCGGTAACTCCGGTAACTTCCGGTACGCGTTGTTTATTCCAAAAGGTTTAGCCAAACAACCTTTTGTCTTTTCAATTGTCATTTCGTCCTTGCGAAACGAACAAAAAAACACAATAAAACGCGTCCTGTAATTGTTAAATGTGACCTTTTAACTGGCAGATTGGTACGTTCCTGATGGAAATGCTCAGGAATTAACTCTTCTTTCCCTTCAAGCCCTTTGTTTTCCTTACCGAAGAAGGTTCTGCTTAGATTCGCCTGCTTCGGTGGCTTTGATTATTGTTTTATCTAGCCTGAGCTCCAAACCTTACAGATATGCATTACGATTCTCCAGTATAAAAGTCATACGAAATTGTCCACGGTAAACCAAGTTTCCCTCCAGCCTAGTTCCGATTGACTTGCTGATCCAACTGAACTGGACGACGCTTTCCCTTTCTTTTGACATTCTACCCCATTATCTTGTTCATCCCACACTCAGATATCATGGCTTTCGGTTCTAGCTCTAAATCCAGGTCGAGCAGGCCTACTCAGCCGAATCCTGCTTCTGCCGCCGATCTCATGGCTCAGGAATTGCTCATGATGCAGTTCCTCGGTGGCGGATCTATGGACAGAAACAACCAGCGTCTTATGATGGAACAGCAGCAGAAATCTGCTGCTGCTGCTTCCGCATCGCACTCTAACAGTCGGAGTAGTCGAAAGCCTCGAACACAGAGTCTTTCCGTACAAGCCATGCCACCCACAACGCACGTTATTCCTGTTTCGTCGATGCCGGGAGATGCGTACAATCCCCAATACGCGTACAACCCCCAGTACGACTACCACCGCCACCCATATCCCCAGCATCACGCTTACCCGCAAAACGTTCCTCTTTCCCCACACCCGGAACACTTTACTCATGCGCACGCACATGTGCAGCCGAGGCGAAGGCACTCTGATGGCTCCGAGTCTAGCTCGTCGAGCTCATCGTACTACTCATCGACACCCAGTCCGACTTCGTCGACTTTTGACCCATCTGCAGATGAGTATTATGCGCCTCAGCACGATCATACAGCTAGAAAGTCAAAGGGCTTGAAAGGGAGGGCGAGGGCTTTCTTTGGTGGCCATTAGTGATACACGAAGTGTTGTATACCGGAGTCTGTGACTCTTTTCTTTCTAAGTTATCTTTCATTGCTTGTATATATACCACACTTTGTATCATAGGTACTGTCTCGTCGTCGTTGGCTTGTTAATCTATAATGGTATAACTACGTGTATGGAGGTATAGCTCAGCCGGGAGAGCAGTCGAACGAAATCATCAGGTCTCCAATTCTGTTCATCTGAAAAGGTCCTGCGTTCGAGTCGCAGTACCCCCTTCCCACATCTCCTGTCTCCCTTTGGAGGATCCGAGCTTTTGCTTTTGCCAATCAAAATGTAATCGGAGCCTTTTTGAATCCGGGAATACCGATACAATCGGATACAATCGGTTCAATTTGAATTCGCTTCTGCCTACTCGTGCATAGCTACTTTTTATGCCTCTAATGCTAGTAGTTTGCGCGATAAGTACTTGATATCTTGATCTTCAAGTTCTCGAGTTGTTGAAAAACGATGCTTGCAGCCCACAATTCGGTAAACTCGGTAATATGCGGCTAAATGTCATCCAGTCATACAGATGTTATTAGTCTCCCCTCCTTACACTGACGATCCATGCGGATGTGTAGCTGTATACAGGAGTATGGACCTCTTCTATGTGCTGTCTCGTTGTCGTTGTCTTGTTACTAAGCCGTACATAATGGTAGGACTATGTATGGGGGTATAGCTCAATTGGGAGAGCAGCAGACTGAAGTTCAGCGAGTCTTTGTTCATCTGAAGGTCCCGCGTTCGATCCGCGGTACCCCCAGTAAAAATTGGAGTGAGAAATTTTTTTACACCTGGCTATGGTGGTGTAACCAACGTGGGCCCCCCCAGCTACAGTAACATACATATCGTGCCAACTACCTGCTTGGGATGGGTAGTCTCCGCAATCAACATGAAAGCGCCATCGAACAAACGCCAAGACTACACAGGACTGCACCCGGACCAGACCCGGACAACAAACAAACCCATGAACAAAAGATCTGGAGTGGCAGGGAGTGGCAGGGAGTGGCCGCGATCCGGAGCTTTTGAAATCCGGAGTTTCACTGATATTTGAATTGCATTATCGGTTCAATTTGAATACGCGACTACATTTTTCGTGTAACTACTCTCTTTACGCCCTCGAGTAAGTACTGCAAGTACTTGCAAGTTGGTCTTTCAAGTCCTCGAGCTGGAATACGATGCTTGTAGCCCCCAATTCGGTTAAACTCGGTAATATGCGGCTAACTGTCATTCAGTCACATATAGATGTCACTAGAGGATAAAAAGGCGCTGTTGGCTTCCATCCTATGTTCAGACTCGAACAAATGCACTTCTCTCTACAGCTCTGTGCATCAATCCTGGCAAGCTTGCTTGCCTATTATCTCTTTAGGATCGTTCGATGGGCATTCTTTCGGTCCACAACGTCTACCCAGCTTCGCGGTCCCCCGAGCAATAGCTTCCTGTTTGGACATAAAGAGCTGTGGTCTCGTGTAAGTATTTTATTTTTTCTGGAGCTCGTATTTCTTTGAAACGTTGCCATGAACAGGCCACGCCTTTCGGTAAACCTGATATCGTGGACAAATGGCATGAGCTCTATGGACCTACATTCACCGTGAGAGGAGCTCTCGGCGTAAGTGGTAACGATACAGCTTTCATGCGCGCGAAACTAAAGTTTCTGCTTTCAGATTCCCCGGATCGTTACAATGGATACCAAAGCTATTCAGCATATTATGAGAAACGATTACACATACATAAAACCTCGTTCTACCCAAAGGATCCTGCAGATGGTCCTTGGAGAGGGTGTGTGAGATATTGGCCGATCATCAGTCTATAAGGCTGTAACTTTGTCCATAGGTTCCGGGATACTACTTTCTGAAGGAGCCCGGCACAGACGTCAGGTGAATCCTTCAGTCATCTATATCGACGGTTGCTAATATAAATCCCCACGAAAAGCGTAAAGTCATGGTACGATTATTCTTCCACAACAGCGAACTTTCCGCTAACCTCATGTCAGAACCCGGCGTTTGGACCCAACCAAATTCGCGAATTAACCCCGGCATTTTTTGAAAAATCTTTCGAGGTGAGTATTTCTCCATATTCTGCACAGAAATACCTTCCCGACACTGGCTTCATCAGCTACGTGATATCTGGGCAGCTCAGATAACTGAAGGCGTCGGGAGGGTAGATGCAATGGACTGGTTTAGCAAGACCGCCTTGGATATTATCGGACTGACAGGTCCCTTCCGTCCTTTTCAGAGTCCTCCCGGGAGCTAACTCGCCTCTTCCACTAGGATTTAATTATCACTTTAATGGTCTGAACGGTCGTTCTCAAACAAATGAATTGAGTCTAGCTTTCTCAGCAATTTTCCGCTCCTCTGGTTGGGCTAGTGCTTGGATGCCTGTTATAGCAGCGCTTCCTATCCAACGAGTATTCCGGGCGGTTAGTATAGATCGTACAATCTATCTTTTAAATTTTTTCATCGCATATATTAGCTTTCCTGGGCCTCCGGAACCACTGCAGGTGAGCAAAACAGAGAATCTTCGCATCATCTGAGTTACTTATTCTGGTCCTAGCAATGAACGCTTGTGCAGAATGCATACAGCGGATAGGTAGAGAAATTCTGACGGAAAGCAAAGCATACCTGGCAGCTACTGGAGAAAAGAGTAGCTGGGGAGCTCGAGATCTGCTGTCACTCCTTCTCAAATCCAATATGAGCACTGAAATCGCCGGTGAAGAGCGAATGAGTGACGCGGATGTCATCGCACGTACGCACGACTCCTCTTTATCACTCACATATCTTGAACTGCCTTGTAGAAATTCCTACGTTTTTGATTGCTGGTTTTGAGACGACTTCAACTTCTTTGACATGGGCTTTCCTCGCACTTTCACAGCACCAGGAGATCCAGGACAAGCTTCGCGAGGAGCTTCTTGGTGTTTCTACAGCAACGCCTAGTATGGACGAGTTAAACGAGCTGCCCCTCCTTGATGCGTTCCTTCGCGAGACCTTGCGCCTGTATGCCCCTTTGATACACATCATGCGGGCTGCTGAAAAGGACGACATAATTCCACTGGCCCACCCGATTACTGATTGTGATGGTATAGTTCACAATGAGCTCCTGTGAGTGGTATCAAGTATTGTGGGTGCAAGGATGAGTACTCATGTAGCGTAACTAGTGTTCGCAAAGGTCAAATGTTCAACCTTTCATTGCTCGGGGTCAATACGGATAAATCGTTGTGGGGCCCTGATGCTGGAGAATTCAGGTTGGTATAAGTTCTCCGCCATAGTTATATTCCTAAGCATTGTGATCTTCCAGACCTGAACGTTGGCTTCAACTCCCGGATAGTGTTAAAAGCATCCCCGGGGTTTATAGCAATCTGATGACATTTTTCGGAGGCTCGCGAGGCTGCATTGGCTGGCGCTTTGCTCTGATGGAGTAAGCATTTTAATCCTTACATCGTCTAGTCCGAAGAACTTATGGTTTCTTCTAGAATGAAAGTTCTTTTGTTCACATTGGTCCGGAGCTTCGAGGTGGAGCTGGAGGTCCCCAAAGAGCAGATTGTGACTTCCCGGGCTGCAGCAATGCAACGACCATCGTTGAGCTCCGAGCCTATCCGTGCAATCTTACCTGTTATCATCAGGCCGTTGAAGGATTGAATGTTTTTAAGATTGGGGGTCAAAGCGTTGTGGAGTAGAATATACTTTGCTCAGAATACTCTCAACCCCTTTTAGACGAGGCTAATATACTGTCGTCACTTCGAAAAATTGAAATGCAGATGAACTTCTGATCACTGGTTGGAGGTATTATGTTCCAAGTTAAGGGGAAATGAGGCCACCGTTCTGGAGGACTTCCACGACGTTCGGACAAACATAAAATTTGCTAAGACGCGTCATATTCAGGCGCGGTACACGTCGTGGTCGTGAAACGCGTGGGGTATGCAATTCAGACAATGTGATTGGCTAGACACTTGTCCCACGAATCAATCACCCAACCACGATGTCTTCAGAGCCTCGCAGCTTCCGCCAAAGGCTCGTTCGAATTTTAACCAAGACATCACATGCTAGTGCACCGTTTATTACTACGTTTCTTTTAATTCACCTCAGCGCTCCTGTGCTGGCCAATATCGGAGGTTCTTCGCTATCATCTCAAGTGATGGTATGTCCAAGAAATAATTCTCTGATTCTCGAACCTAAACACCGCGTAACCAACAGCTACTTGGCAGAGAATACTACCAGACAAAACTTGGAGAGCCATATCTTGTTCTAGGACCGTTGGCCGTCCATGCCCTTTCTGGGATTATCAGACGTGCGCTTATATCATATCCCAAACTCAAAGCCCCAGCAAACGCGTCTAGCTCGTTCCTTGGCCGAATACGCTCTGTTCTTCCTACCACGGTCCTTCCTCTGACTGGTTTCGCGACCGCTTTGCTTCTTCCGATCCATTTTTGCATTCACAGACTACTGCCTACGACCTCATCGCCACCTGTATCTTCACTTGGTCCTTCTGAGCTTGATTTTTCCTTTGTTCAGTACGGATTGCATAACTATCCGATTGTCAGTTGGACCCTCTATGCGACCCTTGTTGGAGCGGCAGTTATCCATGCTGTAGAGGGCGGGCGGGTACTTCTGGGTAATCTGGGTAGCTCTAGTTCTTCCGATTCACCATCTTTGGAAAAACCTTTAAGTAGCCCCTCAATTTCAAAAGACCCCAAGTTCCGTCGCAAGTTGCTTGCAGTAGCTATTGCGCTTCCTGTACTTTCAGGACTATACTTTCTACATACAGAACCCATGTACATATTCCCTGATATGGCCAAACGCCTGGAGGTGTATATCATTTGTCCAGGCTCTACCGTATGTAACATATCCCAATACAAGTACAATATGTATAAATGGATAATCACTGTGATTTTCGTAACTACATTAAAGTACCTATGCGTCTGTTTCTTGCGGCTACTAATGCTTCGATCGCATACTCATTGTTCTCATAGTAGGGACTGGAAATACAGACGAAATCAGCACATTCCTCTCGTTGAGCCATGAGCACTTACACATCATTAATCCTTTAATATCTTTCACCCTGGCCTTCTGTACACTCTTCCTCATCAGTACTACCCTGAAAGAAGTCCACGCCAGCAGTAAACAACCGAAAGCTACGGGTATTAACCAGTACAGTGGGGATAGGTGGAACGTTCCGCCGAACACAACGTGAAGAGGCGGAGTATATATGATGAACATTCCTAGGGGCACATAAGGTAAGTATAACTTCGTGTTCAGAGAGTAGAAAGTGGAGGTACCTAGACAGGCTCCACCCAAGATGCCCGCAAAGTTCCAGTAGTTGCCTATGATACGCCTTCCGAACGGATAGGAAAACCTTGCTTTCACCGCAAAGACCTGTAAGACGATAAGCCAAGGAGCCAACACAACATACTATGCACATAGGAGCTTACATTGAAGCACTGGATGATGAAGATTGAGAGATATACTGCCCGACGTTGATTCAGCCAGTTACGATGGTTCTTCAAAGATATGGACTCACCGATCGATTGTGCTTCTGCAAGCGCAATGACTTGTTGGGCAGCATGAATAACTTCGCCTCGACCGTTGGTAAAATCTGGAGAGTTCTTCAAGAAGAAGGCGGCTGTAAAACTTGGTTAGAATTGAGTGCCAGTCTATGATACTGATATAGCGCACTAGCTCCTGCACTGGTTCCGATTTTTTGAGCTCTTTGCAAATCAACGGGCGTAAAGCCGTTTTTGAAAAAGACGACAAAGTATGCCACAAGGCT